ATCTTCAATCTAGTTCTTTCCCTTCTCAGTTTATTCCTCTCAAATCCTTACCTATCTAGTTCTTCCATTCTCTTTTCTCTTCTCCATCCCTTGTGCCCTGGAAGTCCTGGTATAAATACACTTACAAGCAGTAATCCCTTGGGAGTGTAAAGCCAGGCTACCAGGGTCAAATGGAGGGGTGAAAAGAATCACATAGAGAGGCAATAACCATTAATTATCATTTGCAACCCCAAAGGAAAGTGACCAATGGGGAAATGAATTAACTAAAGGCTAAATTCAGGTAATATGTAAGAAGAAGGATCTTATGTGCTCAACTATAGTCTTAAATGTGATTAGTAGAACATGTTAAGAATCTCTAATTTGCTACGTCAATGGGAGAAAATAAAACTGCCTTCTTTTTTCCTGTGGCTCCTATCTTTCCAAGCAATCTGCCATTTATCTTCGAGGTGGGGAAAAGTGTGTTCAGTCCCTAGTGTATAGCTAGATGCATCTGGTGATAGTTAAAGGGAGATATCTGGAGCTAGAGGTAAGGTTTGAGGAAGGAGGAAGTTAAGAAGGGAGGGTCTGAGCTAAATTGTGTAAAGCTGTTACTTAATGACCTAGGCAGTGTCTCCTTGTGGGATTTACCTTAAGTCAGGAGACTTGCATGTGGACTGTTATCACTGTTAATCCTTGAAACTGGCTAAGGGAGATATCTGATTCCAGAGAAAGCCTCTCCTGAGGCTTTTCTCCAAATACATGGAATGTGTATACCCAGAGAGTGATCAGTCCACACTGTTAGCCTGCTGTGGGATGTTTTGTATGTCAAATGTGTTGCTCTGATTGGTTAATAAATAAAACACTGATTGGCCAGTAGCCAGGCAGGAAGTATAGGCAGGACAAGCAGAGAAGAGAATTCTGGGAACATGTAGGCTGAGGCAGAGAGATACTGCCAGCCTCCACCATGACAAGCAACATGTAAAATACTGGTAAGCCACAAGCCACGTGCAACTTATAGATTTATAGGAATGATTTAATTTAAGATATAAGAACTAGATAACATGAAGCCTACCACAGCCATACAGTTTGTAAATAATATAAGCGTCTGTGTGTTTATTTTATAAGTGGGCTGTCAGACTGCCGGGGCTTGGCAGGACCCGGAGAGAAAACTCTAGCTACAAATGGTGCTCAATGGCTCAAGTTTCCACATTAAACCTGAGAATACTTAATAAGCAATTCAAAATGGAACTAAAAACAGTTACCTAGTTGTCTCTCTCAAGTTGGCAGTTTCCTCGTGTGGGCATTTGAACAGCAGTATGGTGGGAATGAGGTGTCTGCAAGTGGCGCATTATGCTGCATGGTGGATTTAGCCTTTGCTAGTACAAAAAAAGAGGTTTCTGGGCTACACTCCGCTTTGATAAAAGCATAGACCCACTGTTTCTAAGAGATGATGGCTCCCAGAGCTGGTGATAAACGACCACTGCCATGTTGGGAAGCTGAGGTGGGTGGAGCCACCAGCCACAGCGGCCATTTTGGTCATACAAATGCTGCAGTTTAAAGCAATAGTTACACAATAAGGCAGATTCAGATGAAACAAGACTTTAAATGCTTTACAATGTGTGTAAAAATGTACGTATGCTTGGAAGAGAGAGAAAAAGGAATATATACAGTTAAATAAAGAAATACAGCCGGGCGGTGGTGGCGCATGCCTTTAATCCCAGCACTCGGGAGGTAGAGCCAGGCCGATCTCTGTGAGTTCAAGGCCAGCCTGGGCTACCAAGTGAGTTCCAGGAAAGGCACAAAGCTACACAGAGAAACCCTGTCTCGAAAAACCAAAAAAAAAAAAAAAAGAAAGAAAGAAATACATAGTTTTTAAAACTAAAGTCTTTAAAGAGACAGTAAAAGTAGTATAAAAATAAGCCACACAAAGATGGATATTACACAGAGAATCCAGATTGTGTTGTCTGGGATTTTTAACTGCAGAAAAACATTTGATTGTAAAAGCTGTTGAATTAAACCAATGTGGATATTTTAAAGGTACCTTGACTTCAAAATTTGGATGTAAGGACATGTTTCTTTGGAAAGGAGGCTCTGCTTTTATTTCCACAGAAAGCCAGAGGCTATGGATTTGTTCCAGAATAAGATACATCAGGTTTGACCAGCCAAGACCCCCTGAAAGGTCTCTGATGACACCATGGACCAGATGATCCAACATCCAGAATGGTTTCAAGGCAACTGGCTCAGATGATACACCCTTATGGACTACTCCAGAATCCTAAAATTTTCTTTGTGTCCCCATAAGATACATTGCCCCTCTCCAGCAGGAAGTAATAAGAGAAGCTATGCCCAAATCCCAAATATACTAAGCTGGCTTTGGAAATGGAATTGGCTCACTCCTTCTCTAAACCCAGGCATATTGCTAAAAGAAAAGGTTAAGAGATTCCTGTGTCCCAAATCAGAAGAGCCCTCTGGTGTGGGACAGAGAAAAAAAAAACAATATTTTTATTTAAAACAGGTTGATTATAAATACAATGTCTTTCTAAAGAACAAAAGGGGATAGTTTAGATATGATACGATGAAAGGATAGATTAATGAACTTACTTTTAAAGAGCAACAACTTATTTGAAATGTTTTACATTGGTATAGATTTGAATTTAATGATACAAGTTTAAACTTAATTTTATTATACTGTATATATATTTCTACTCTCATTTGAGGTATTGTGTTTATGTAACTCATTTAGATTGTAATAGATAATTAATAAATACAGACTAATAGTTAGTCTTCTATGATAGTCAAACTTGTAGCATGTTAGTTAAGTTTTCTAGGTATATATATATATATATATATATATATATATATATATATATATATTTCAGATAGACAGGTAATCATCAAATACTTCAAAGACCTACAGAATATGGCATTTAAAATGTTTTTAAAAATGTAGACTTTCTAGACAGTGAGATATGTCTGCTCCTGGCAGTACAGATTCACTTCAGAGAGGAGAATGGGCATCAAAGATACTCTATATGGAGTTTATCTTCACCTTGGCAAAAACAGCCATTTGGGCAAGAAACTGTTCTTTCCTGGACTTCTTGATCGACTGGACATGCAGGACCCATGGGAAGGTGACCACTGAACTCTGCTTGGCAAAGTGGTCCTTTAGGTTCCTGCTTCACAGAGAAAACTGCCAAACATTCTACAGAACACAGAGAAAAATGACTGAGAGACTCTAGTCTTGTTGGCTGAAGACAGATGCCTCAACTTTACAAGAGAAATTTGGATGACTGTCCAGGCTGCCAGCTGTCTCTTTCTACCCTGTAAGACTCCCAAAAGTTGCTTGTATCCTTCTCCCATTTCTCAGGTAGTATTATATCCTCCTGAGATCTTTGATGTAGTTGAAGACTAGAGATAGTTATAATTTTTTTTAGTTATGATAGAAGATAAGTTAGATATAAAACCTTAGACTCACAAATATAAGATAGGTAGGATATCTTCTTTAATTCTGCCAAATAGACTAGTTATCATAAATAGACTAGATATTATAACTATAATTCTTGCTTGATAACAGTTTTGTTATCTGTAATTTTACTATGTAAAAGTTAAAATCTTCCTTAAAAAAAAAGAAAAGGGGAAGTGCTGTGGGATGTTCTGTATGTCAAATGTGTTGCTCTGATTGGTTAATAAATAAAACACTTATTGGCCAGTTGCCAGGCAGGAAGTATAGGCAGGACAAGCAGAGAAGAGAATTCTGGGAACAGGAAGGCTGAGACAGAGAGACGCTGCCAGCTGCCGCCATAAAAAGCAACATGTAGGATACCGGTAAGCCATGAGTCAGGGGGGTAACATAGATTTATAGGATTGGGTCAATTTAAGATATAAGAACTAGATAACTAGAAGTCTGCCACAGCCATGCAATTTGTAAATAATATAAGCGTCTGTGTGTTTTTTTTTTTATAAGTGGGCTGTCGAACTGCCAGGGTTTGGCAGGACCCGGAGAGAAAACTCTAGCTACATTAGCCCTTCTTAGGGAAAAGTCAACTGGGAAAACCATGAGGGTACACATGATTTTCATAACAGAATACAGCTGATATATAACAAGCCAAATAACACCAAAAGCTCCTTGGAATTTGGCTTCCTCTGGAGGAATTCCCTGATCCCTCCAGGTAGTGACTTTGCCATAACTAGCTGAGTTCTTATGATGTATTCCTGTGGCCCACAGCAGGAGAAGTGGCTAGTGAATCAGAAGACCTTCTAACAAGATAGCTGGGGAATCTGAAACCAGCTGCAGGTTGTCACCATCTACATCAATGGTGCTGTTCAGTGTCATATGCAATAGGTGTGGATGAACCTGTTATGGAGGGAGCTTCCTTCTTTTTTCTGCTGCTAGAAGTTTCAGAACATCTTTGTTTTGCTGGGAGCTGGCTATGAGTTCTGATTAAGTCATCTGGGATTGACAAAAGGGAATCAGTATCCTGTGGAAACATGCAAGCATATCCTCTTCCTGATGTTATTACAACATCAGGACCTCTCTAATTACCAGTCAGGAAGTCTTTCCATTTGGCTACAGGCTTAGATGTAACTTTTATGAAGAAGTATCAGATGAAAGAGCTCAAATTATCCTCATAAATATTCATATGGTTAAGTACAAACAGAGCATGATTTAAAATATGATGAGGGAACAAATATTTCAGATATCCACTTTGCAATTTGGATATTTGGGTTTTAAAGTATGATGAGCTCTTTGCACTATAGCTTAACTTTGGGGGTTATAAGGGATGCCTGTAGAGTGGGAGATGTGAAAAGTTAAGTACCAGTTCTTTAAGGCTTTTTAAGTATATGCAAGGATTATGTCCTTAATTGCATCACCAACCTGTGACAGCATACCAGCCTAAAAGGCAGGTGTGCCCTCATTTTCTGCACTCCCTCCTCTGTATTCTCTCCCCTCCATGCAGTCTCTCCCTCTCTCTCTCTCTCTCTCTCTCTCTCTCTCTCTCTCTCTCTCTCCCAATATTTAGAAAGGTCACCATGGCTCCTGATTCTTCTGCCACTGCAACATCCATTGGCCTGACTGCAGGCAGCAGCCAGTCAACAGCGCCACCGCTTAACCAACATCTGGTGCTGTACTCCAATAGACTTTCGAGGACCTGCTGTGACTGCTGCTGCCTGCCACCTCCTCCCCCATCCAGCAAGACTGCCAGTCCATGAGCGTGCATGAGTCCCTCACCTCCGCTGAAACCCCACACAGCTACCACTACTGCTACTGCCATGGTTCTTCACCACAGTGAGTGAGTCCGCCATTCTCAAGACTGTAGTCTGAGCTATATTCTTTGCGATGGACACCCTGGGGGTTGTCCTCTGGCTGCACTGGCAATGGCAGACATATTTTCGCTCCTGATGATGGGGTCAGTGCTGTCTCAGGTCCACCATGGACCAACTGCAGTGCAGCTGCAGCCCTTAGCATCCCTTGATGAAGAGGATGGCTAACTTGAGCTTATTCATAGATATCTCTTCACTCCTTGGGAACACCTGAGATTGGAGTCTGATCCCAGTTTGTTATTATATTTTTTTTTCTCTCAGGTACAGCCATGGGACAAAAGGGCAGAAACATTTACCACTTACATTGGCAGATATTGCTAAATCTGGCCACATAACAGCTTTGTGGGAACTTCTGCCAGCGAATGGGAAAAAGCCATGGGACGAAGGGGTGGGTACCAGTAAATCTGGCCACATAACAGGTTCATGGAAACTTCTGCCAATGAGTGGGCAAATAAAAGAGTTACTTTATCCCCAAGCTTTCTGCTAAAGCTGTGAAGATCTCCCTCCCCATTTCTGCCTCTACCACATGCAACCTTTTCTATCTGAATTCTGCTGGCAGTGGGCAGGCTCAAATGGGTGACTCTCGCCTTAACTCACCTTAACTTCTCCCACTCATTTTCAAATGCCTTGAGAAGTACAGACAGGTCTGGTAGTGGCTAAAATCCATACAAATAAGTTTACAGTAGTTAGGATGGCTCCTAAGACAAAAATCAGCTTATAGACTCAAGCAAGTCTTTTCAAAAGGATCAGTTTATAGTCTGCCTCCTGGCAGATCTTCCAAAAGCTGTCCTTAAGCCAACAATCATCAGGAATAAAAATTTAGGACACAGAGTAAAATCTGTCCCTTGTTCCCCAGACCTCCCTGACTAAAACTTTAGCATCTGGAGAGCAATGCTCCTGACCTCACAGGCAAAAGAGTCATCTGTGGCATTTAAGGTGTGCCAGGGAAGAGATAAAAGCTCAAAAAAATTGCCAAGTACTGGCACTCGCTGACTCCTGAAAGCTAAGCTGTTGGGTCCCTGTTTTAAGTAAGGAAAAAGGTCATGGGCTAGCGAGGGCCCTGCCAGGCCATCAGCAGCCTTGTTAAAAGTGCCACCTAGAAAGACAACCAGTCAGCTGACTGCCCCCCAGGCACCAAGATGCATGGGTACATCAAGCTAAGATCTTCAGCAGACCTATGCTTGGCTACAGACATGGTGGGGAACCCAGAATGCATCAGGGAAGTGATCCGTTTCTTTCCTTCTGGACACCAAAACCACTGACTCGGTCCTGGGAGTTTGGGGATGTCACCTTTCCTTTCTCTATCGTCGGGTACAGAGGATAGCCTTACCCACCTACAAAAAGAGACTTTAATGTAAACATCTATTACTGTGAGATACTTTTAACAATTGATCACCTGTCTCCTGGATGCTGAACCAGTAAAGAAAACAGGTGCTTTAAAATAATCTGTCTCTGATAAAGCTTAACATGTTTCAAAATCCATCTGGACAGGCCAGTTCTACCTCAGATAAATGTCAACATAAAATAATAATGATTCTTTTCTCTCTAACTTTTTTTTTCTGTGTCACTAGCATCTTGTAAGACAGAAGGTTCCCAGCCTCAGCCAAGAGGGATACAAGTCTCCAGAACAATGGATGGCAGACAGTATCCCACAACGCCTGTCTACCTTGGAAGACTACCCTTCCCCATTCCCCCAAGAGCCAACTGACATATAATAGTCAGCTGGAAGCAGCTTTTGAGAGAAATAATGCCCCTATTCCCATATACCTGCTTTTTTTGAAAAATAGTAAGCAAAAGTCTGGGATGTAAGGATTATGTCCTTAATTATGTCACCAGCCTGCGATGGTGTCCCAGCCTAAAAAATGGGCATGCCCTCTCTGTGCCCTCTTTTTCCACACTCTCTCCTTCCATATTCTCTCCTCTCCATGCGGCCTTTTTCACTCTCTCCTCTCTCTCTCTCTCTCTCTCTCTCTCTCTCTCTCTCTCTCTCTCTCTCTCTCTCACACACACACACACACACACACACTCTCTCTCTCTCTCTCTCTCTCTCTCTCTCTCTCTCTCTCTCTCTCTCTTTCTCTTGCAATAAAGCTCATAGAAAGGTAACCATGGCTCGTGATTCTTCCGCCACCGCAACATCCAGTGTTCTCTTCCATCAGCATGGCCGCCACAGGCAGCAGCCAGCCATGAGTGCTGCCCCTTAACCAACAGTATATGCAGGGCCATTGTACACTTTTAAAGTTCCAAGCATTCCAAAAATTGAAAAGTGGTGAAATAAATGCTGTATCATGCCCTTTAGTGCCTCTCCAGATTGGAATGTAGCACAGTTGATATGAGAATAGGTGTCCACGAATATGGGGACAAATGCTAAATTTCCAAAGGAAGGGACATGAGTTACATCCATTTACCATAAATCACAAGGACATAAATCCATAGAGAGAGAATTTGTAGTCATAGGACAGACATTACAATTACACACAATGGATCTAAGAGTAAAAATATATGAAAAGTTTTCTTTTCTAAAATAAATTATTCTTAATTTATTTCTTTATCATTAAGGCACTGTGGATACTATATTATTGTTGTGTCTATTTGGAAGAAGGCTTGAAATTAGCATTTTTTCAATCCTAGAGGTGTTTTTAGGGTACTCTAATATATATATATAAATATATTATGTATTATTATTCAACTATATGCCAATTTATAATTATATATTATAAATATACAGTAATATATAATTATTATAATTATAATCATGCTTAAAAAACAAACATAGAAACTGACATATACAGATCACAGAGACAGCAGCCACATGCATTTGACAGCTCAGATTCACAATCAGCAAAGTCCAGACAGGAATGAAGACTTTCCTGTAAATAGATAGATTCTAGGCAAAAGCAGCTGGAAACTCACTCAGTTCAACATTCACCAGCAGCCAGTTTTCTACTGTTAGTTAGAGGCAGAGCCCAGGATAAATTACATTTTATCCCGTGTTCCCCTAACAGTTTCCTTGATTCTTTTATAACACACAGGGAGGGGGAGAGATTGAATAATCAGCAGCTCTGATGGAGATCTCCAAGTTCACTACAGTCAATTGTTTCGATTCTTAGATTTGAGATCTCTTTCCTTATTGGTTCCCAATGCATGTCTATTCTAACAGGAGGCAGTCAGATCTAATAAAAATGCCTGCACTCAAGGATTTTACCAGCCAGGCGTCTGGCTAAATCCCAGCTCTTAGCTGGTTTTAGTCAAAGCCTGGCTATAACGGACTCCAAAGAAAGAAAACTGCCCCAGATACCAGCAGGAGACAGAGGCAATAGAAACCTTGGATAGGCAGGGATTTGTTGGGATTTCCCACATTCATGGTCTGAGTCACCTGGTCCTGTTTGCTGTGCAGGAAATGTCTCTCAAGCCACTGCTTCAGCCTTAATATATGTGATCACTGGCTCAGTCTTAGATCCTGCATTATCTGCTAGGATGATTTACCTTGGAAATCAATACCTGACAGAAGCCAGAGATATAATGATCATATTTTCCCTCAGAGGACACGCTAAGAAAAATGGTTGTCTGGGCAAATCTCACTTAGTCACCTGGAGCCTTGTGAAAATTTCAAGTCTCAGATTCTGCAAATAAGTGCAATTGGGGAATCTGGCATGGCATATCTGAATATGTTTCCAGTAAGCTGCAATAGGCAGCCCAGAATCACAATCACCATCAACAGGCAGAAAGGAAGGCTTTCAGTAAGACAGAAAGAATATAGGGCCAAGTTGCTAGATAAATGATCACCCCCTACTTACCAAGGGATTCTTTTATCTTTTGAGAATTGCATTCTGGTGCTAGGATACATTATGTGTTTTCCTGTCATCCACTTTAAGGTTCATTGTTTCGGCTGCAGAACACATTTAGTTGGGATGGTGAAATGAATTAGCAGCTCTGAAGGAGATTTCGAAGAGTACCACAGGATTTGCTTTTCATTGGTCTAATTGAGATCAATTTCCATATTGGTTCCAATTCCAATCACCCTTTGAATGTACACACTCCTTCAGTCAGAGGAAACAAGAACTAATGAAGATGTCAGCAGATTGGAATTTTACCAGTCAGGCTCTGCTTTTATTCCAGGATTCTGTTGTTCACGGGTATAAACAAAAACCTACTGTCAATTGCCCTGGCCATGGAAGACTGTTCACCACATGTACAAGAAACAGAGTCCATGGAATAGAACAAAGTCAGGGTTTGTTTCACTCCCAGCTTTACAGCTCTGAGTCACCAGCTCCTGTCCCATGTGTAGCATGTATGCTCCTGCTTCTGATTCTACTGCTACTCTTTAAAGATGTGTCCTCCCTCTCTCCATTTGAAGTGCTGCAGTATCTGCAAGGAAGTTAATACACTTCAGGCTTCAGTATCTGACAGAGACTAGAGGAGTCCTGCTTCTTTTTTTTTTTTTTTTTTTTTTTTTTTTTTTTTTTTTTTTTTGTGTATCAATTCCTTGTTTTTATTGATACCTGTTATCATATATAAATATCACCATCAAAAGACATTTTGCATATCACATAATATGATAGGTTATTACGCACTATATGAAAATATTTTTCTCCCCAGGAAGCTCAAAATTTTACAAACTTTTCCAAATATTTGGTTATTACCTTCTTTTCTCTAGTACAGTAGGAAAAGTATTTGAAATTCAGTTTGCAGGTTGTATGTCTATCTAAAATTAAGACCTATTCTAGGTAGGGAAGCTTAATTAATTCTACAGACAGAACCAAACCTGTTCTATCCAGTTAAGAGTGGCGAGTTGCTGGGCTTAACTTCCACCCTCCCTCTGCATGCTTTTCTTCTTCAATAAACTGCTGATTACTGATACTTGAAGCCATTGTTCTAAGACACTGCTTTCTTTTCCATTCTTTTTTTTTTCCCTTTTCTATTTTAATAAAAAGGAAAAAAAAGAAAAAGGTTATAACTAACAAAAGAAAAACTATATACAAAAGTACAATGACTATATACAATATATACAAGTAATAAATGTCTAAACAATGTCTAGTCCATTTGTATTTGACAAATTCAGAGAAAATAATTTCATTATCTATCCTATTTTGTTAAGTCCAAAATGTATCTAATTCACTTTCTATCCTAATTAATCTTCAACTATAACTAACTAACCTTCAACTATAACTAACTAATCTTCAACTCCCTCAGAGACCCAAGAAGGAAATAATATTAGCTAACAAAAATAAAAACAGAAAGTGCATGGAGTCCTGCTTCTTTATCTCCCCTGGGAGAGTCATTGTGAGAATTGTTATGGCATTATCAGTTATTTTATTCCTTTTTTTGTGGTTTCAAAATTTAATTTCCAGAGGTCAGGATCTATAAGGACAGAACCTTAAAAACAATATTCACTAGAGGGTTTGAAATAAGGTACATATATTTTTCCAGAACAATTTAACATATGATGTTGCTTCATCATGGGGCCATCACCAGCCAGATTATTTTATCTTGTTTGGTTTTTGTCATACCTCATGTATTCACTTTTTCCTCAGTCGGTTGTTTTTCAAAGTCATATTCCTGCTTCACTTATGCTTGCCACCTGACTGGGGAGTCAAGTGCTCACAGAGAGCAGATGTTTGGAAGAAAGAGACCATTTTTGCAAATTGCAATGCCGGTAGAGACAGTCTGAAGTTAGAGAATCCTGTGTCGACTGAGGAAAATGCAGTCATTTCCAAAGGAGATTGGATAATTCGATGCAGAAAGTGCTTTTCTAGTGACAAGAATATCCCCAGCCCGTTTAACCTAATGATGTCGTAACTAGGTAACAAAGAAATCAGAGTATGTGCTTCAACTGGGCCTGCAAAGGAAAGGAACAATTTCCGTTACAGTGTTTCATCTTCATTGGAAGGCTGATTTTTGTCTGAAAAAGAATAACATTAGCCTAGTTAGGCTAATGAAACCTTAAATAGATTATCAGGAAATCAGAACCGTTGAGCCTCACCACCACGCAGAAAGCTGTCAGAGTCCAGTGGCGAGTGACAGGTCGAGTTTATGAGCAGGCACTGGTAGCAGAGGGTGGCTGCTTGATAGGAGAAAGAAACATGCCAACAGTGACTGACACACACAGCAAATGGAAAGGTTGACAAATATTATTTTGAGTATACTTTGCAGGTTTTCTTCAACACTTCACCTCAGAGCTAATCATTATTGTTATTGGTTGATAAAGAAACAATTTAATGTTAATTTATAATCAGAATTATTTCTATCTTTAACTTATTTTTTGTATTTTGCTCTCTAATTTTATAGGATCCTGTTTCTGATTTTTGTTTTCACTCTCTATGGCATTTACTTGATTATTTTATTTTGTTTTATTTTATTTATTTATTTATTTTACAATGTAACTGGAGGCACACAGCCTCCTTTCCTTCCACTCCCTCCCTTGACCCTCCTCAATTCATTCCTCTACAGTACTCCCTTAAAAGGGGGCAGGCCTTACCTTGGCATCAGCAAAGCATGGCATATCAAAACACAATAAGACCAAAAATCTTCTCCTGCATTCAGACAGAACAAGGCAATTCAGCATAAGGAATATATACCCAAGCCCTAGCCAAAGCAGCTGCAAGAGCCCCTTCTGCAATTGCCATGAGTCCTTCGAATAGATGAAGCCTCACTACTGTCACATGTATGCAGAGGAGCCAGGCTGATCCCATGAAAGCTCAATGATTGTTGGCTCAGTCTGTGACTTCCAATGACACTGGCTAGCAGTTTCATTGGGTTTACATACAATGTCCCTGACCCTTATGGCTCCTAGAATCCACATCCTTCTATTCGGTAGAACTCCCCGAGCCTGGCTGTTTGTGTGGCTGTGGGTCTCTGATATTGCCTTCATTAGTCACAATATGAAGGCTGTCTGAGGGCAACTGCAGTAGTCCACAATCAAATTACAGAGGATGGCCAGATCAGAATAAGGAACTACTGCAGCCAGGAGTCCTAGATGGGGCCATGCTTGTAGACTCATGGAAATGTTGCTGGCATCAGTCTTCTAGCACCTACTTAAAGTAACCCATTCCAGTCATCTCTCTCAGCACTCTCCCCATCTGCTCATCCCAACCTGATACCTCAAG